CTTTGAGCTCTTGGAAAATTGCAAATTGCTAAATTTAAGCTTAAATGAATTTCTTCTTTACAATCCTTCAGAAGGTACCGATACCTTAGCAAACAATGTCACATCTAATTAAAAATAAATAATTTAAAATCATGCAGGAAAAGATATAGAGCTTCAAATCATAGAGCATTCTTTAAAAAAACAAAATCTCTGGTTTAACTGAAGGCTCTCTTCAGACTTTACGTTTGGGTAACTTTGAGTGTATCTCCCTGAAAGGGTTTCCTCAATGAAAAAAGGCTTTCAATCCTACCTTCCTATCTCCACAGGAGTGTTTCTAACACAGCACGGTGATATTTTTTTGATGAAAATGTCATCCCAAATCTCTAGGTTTTCCTGAATTTGTCTAGATAAAAGAGAAGGACAAAAATATTTTCCATCTGTAATTTTTTTTGAAGTTATAAGGCATTTTTTAAAACCTGCATTAAATTAGCAACAGAAATCACATTCTCTGTCTCCAAACATTTGTAAAATTGAGAATGATTTCATTTCTGTAATTCTGGAACGTATAACTCTTTTACAACATGTGTGCCCACATTGACACAGATACACAAACACAGTCATTGCGGAGTAGAGCGTGTTTCTAATATATATACCCACAGTGTTTAAAAGTGAGTGCTTTTGGCTCATCGACTTGTTACACAATAAAGGTTTTATGGGGAAAAAAATCAGGCTTCGGATTATTGCTTCTTTACCGAGCCGTGTTATAGAAAGTGTATCTTACAATGAGAAAACAATACAGCAGGAGTGAAAAGTTTCCTGAAACTAATTTGATGCAATATTCCAGTGGACGTTCTCTGCTTAGGGTAAAAACGCAGATTCGACCCCATCCAGCCTAAGCTCTGCATTTAAGTGGTCCTGGATGTGTAGAGAATTGATTGTCCAGGCACGAGGAAGCCAGCCTCCCACCCCCCACCAGTCTCCAACCAAACACATCTGAAAACCTTGCCATGTCGCCTCTATCTTTAAGGGAAAACAAGTTGCGTCCTTTTTCTTCTGGATTCATTACAAGCATGGACTGCCCGAACTCAGTCTCCACACTGCTCCTGCTTGTAAAACTCTGCAGGTGCGTCGGCTGTCATCTAGTCCAGCAACAGAAACCGATTCCCAGGTCTCCCTGTAATTGGCAGGGCTTTCTTTTGCTCCTTTAATCAGTTGCTAACACCTCGCTGTTTAACATCACAGCGAGCATAGCTACAAACAAGGAAGGACACACTCCTGAAATAATAATAATAATTTTTAAAAAGCCCTCTGCTTAGTAACAAACATAAAATCCATCATTATTCAACGCAGAGGAATTATATGGTTTCATTGTAACAAAATAGCAGTTCTCTTCCTGATGCTTTATTTTGCTTGTGGAAACTCTCCTTTTTGACAAAGCAAGTTCCCTGTACAAAGAAACATTGTATCTTTTGTTTATTTTCATCCCTCTGATCTGACACAAACTAAGGAACAATCTTTTACTCAAGAGCAATTAGTCCTGTCCCTGTTTCAGAAAATGGTTGAACACATGGGCTTAGAGAAGAGAATATTCCTTCAAAAATTACTAGCCATTAAGTCGTAAAGACAACTTAGAGGTTATTTTCCTCTAGCAAATAACCATAATTTCCTTGAAATCTAGTGCTTTATGTAATTAAAGTTATTTATTTAAGGATTTAAATTTGCTTTAGCATTTTAAATGGCCTTAGTGTCTGTGTAAAATTCAATATTTTGAGCCTGGTCGGTGTTGGGTTCGACTACACATATAATTTTACCACTGCTCTGTAATGCAGGCCGTTCTTCTTGTAATAATAGTTTAAAATGCTAGCCTGCCAAGGGGAAGAATCAGGAGATAATTTGAGCTATACCCCGGCTGAGGCTTCTCTTATCCTGGACTCCTCCAGAGTCTCCTAAATGAGTCTGCAAGTCTGATTTCTAACGGCAAGGCAGCGAGAGGGTCTCGAGCATGTTTATTGATACAGAATGTTCGAGATCGACAGCCAGAGCTTCGCCTATGATCAAGCGACTTTCTGTGTGAGTCTTATGGAATGTGGCATTCCAGACTTTAAAGGGAAGGGGAGATCGCCATGGTAACGGCACAGGGGGGTTGGGGCTGGGGATCCCCCTGGGAGCTTAAAGGCCAGCAGAATTTTAAGCATTTGCAACTTAAAAAAAGAAGAGGAGGAAAGCTCCATCACTCTGCCAAGTCTGTCTATAGAAATGGATACGGTTAGAGGGTTCCTCGGAAAGATCCAAATAAACACAGCCCGAGCCTGCGTGATGTGAGCTGGAAAGGACACATGCTAAGAAAAACTACAGATCCTGGTCTCCTCTATCGAAGATGGAGCCGCTGTGGCTGCCTAACCTCCAAGAAGGAGCAGAGCTTGGGAAAGAGGCCAGTAACTGGTCCAGGCGGGGGGCCGTCTGCCCCGGCCCCCTCCTGTCCCCCAGCTGAAGCACGCAGCACCTCCCGACACTGATGGAGACCCAGGCTGAGGACCCCGCCGCCTGGCCAGGGCACGGCACCGAGTCTCGCAGAGCCCGGCCGAGTGCAGCCAGCGGCTGGTTCGCGGCTTCGGTTGCTGGATGTGTAGAAACAGTTTCGATTACCAGAGAAATCTCCTAGGATCGCAGATAATAAACATAAGTGAGTGGAGTATAAAAGTGAGTGTAAACCAATGTGATTTGTGGTCGTTGCATCTGAGGGAGGAGAAAAGATAACAGATTTACAAATGGGGCTCAGACACAGTAGGAACTGAAATTTAGTATAGCCCCCACCAAGGCCATTCTGAAAAGCAAGAGTCCAGTGGTATCTGGCGGTCTGAATCAGCGGTGTTGGCTCCAGAGGGCCCCGTGGTCTGGGCAGCCCTCGCCTCTGCAGGGTCATGGGTGAAGGTCAGCCGGGTGGGAAGTGAGGGCCTGGCTGCCAGTTCCCTGGATGGCACGGTCAGGGTGCAGCTGGTCTGCACACCTGGGGGATGAGCGCAGCCCAGCTTTCCACTGGGTGCTGAGCACCCACATCCCACCCCTAACCGCCACTGCCTCCTGTACTCTCATAGGCACAGGCCCCCACCCTTGCAAGCGAACACATCCCCATAGAGATGCTGAGCTGGGATCAGGGGTCCAGCGATCGGCTTCTTGGAGGAATGCAGCTAGGGGCTGGGGGAGTGAGGGGCTGGGGTGGTTGCGAGGGGTGGGGCGGGAGGTTCTGGCACCCCTAGCAGGGCAGCTGGAGTCCAGGCTTGCCTGCCCTCCTGGTGGCCTCAGGTGATGTAAGCTGCCTGTCAGTCTTCAGTTTATTGTCTGCAAAATGGGCCTTATTGTATTTTGCCCCCTCCATGGAGGACCCATCAAGGAGAAGCACAAAGGCAGGTGTGAATGGAGGTGACGGGTGGGGACAGAGGGCTGGGGGAGAGGGGAGAGAGTTCAGTAAATGGCCTAGAGTTGTCTTAAAAGTGCATCAAAAAGTATGGAGAGTGTAATGGAGGAAAGAAAGGTCGTTCCTCACCGAGGAGACACCAGAGACAGCCTTTGATAATCTCTCTCCTTCCTTCCTTCCGGGCTTGCAAATGGGTTCATGATATAAAACCTCAATATTTTGATAAAATGTACACAACAGATATATACACCACCTTACTCATTTGTAAGTGTATGTTCCATGGCCTTAAGGGCATTCACACTGTTGTACAACCATCCCCACCACCATCTCCAGAGCTTTGTCATCTTCCCAAACGGAAACTCGGGCCCCGCTGAACACGACCCCCTGTCCCCTCCCCTGTCCCCTGGCCCCTGGCAGCCACCATTCTTTCTCTCTCCATGAACTTGACTGTTTTAGGTACTTCACATTCAGTGGAATCAGACAGATTTGTCCTTTTGTGAATGGCTTCTTTCACCAAGTATAACATCCTCAAGGCTCATCCATGTTGCCACCTGCATCAAAATGTCTTTCCTTTTTAAGGCTGAGTGGTATTCTATTGTGTGGACAGACCACATTTAATTTATTGATCCATTCAACTGTAGATGGATTTTGGATCACTTCCAGCTCTTGGCTAGAGTGAATAATGCTGCTGGGAACATGGGTGCACACCCATCTGCTTAAATCCCCGTTTTAAATACTTTTGGCTCACACCCATGATTGGGACTGCTAGATCCTATGGTAACTCTATGCCTACTGCTCTGAGGAACTGCCATATTATTTCCCATGGGGCCTGCACCGTTCTGCGTTCTCACCAGCAGTGCACAAGTGTTCCAATTTCTCCACTTTTTTGCCAACACTTTTGTGTTTGTTTATAACAGCCATCCTAATAGACATGAAGTAAAAGTTATGAAGATTTGCATTTCCTGAATGATCAGTGACTTGGAGCTTCTTTTCATGTGCTTGTTGGCCACTTGCATATCTTCTTTGGAAAAGCATCCATTTAAGTCTCTTGTTCATTTTTAAATTGGACTGTTTGTTTTTGTTGTTGTTTGGTGTACCTAGATTTATAGTGGCTTCTTCTCACCTTATACACTGGGAACATCTTTCTTTCCCCGTAGATAAATGAACATCTATTTTCATGGTTTCCAGCTTATTTTTCTGCCTCCTCATGGTGCCTTCGCCCATGAAACAGGGGGTCATGTAGTGGTTAAAAACACAGACATTGCCACAGACCTCACCCCACCCCTTACCAGCTGTGAATTCCTGGGCAAATGGCCTCCTGTGTACGTCGGTTTTCTCATGGGTAGGACGGAGATTCAGCAGGCGTGTGTGGATTAAAAGAGCCAATCTCCGTTAAATACTCAGAATCCTGCTCGGAGCACAGAAAATGCCATGGGAGATTCAGCCGTGTTGCTTGTCGTTTGCTGTTGCTGTTCCCCACTCCTCGCAGTGGGTCTCAGTTCCAGCTGAAATGCAACCCAGAATCTCAGGCCGAGGGCGGATTCCTGGGTGTGCTGACACCCAGCTCAGGGACCGAGGGAGGCTGATGCCAACACACGCCTGGAGATGCCTCCCTTCTTCCCATCAGCTCCTCCCGTCCTTACACGCACTGCCCTCCTGATGACTGTTCTCTCCCCCTGTAGCTGGGAGAACCCTAGGAAGGTCGAGTTCCTCACCCAGAGTCTCTGAGCTTCCAGCGGCGTGGCCAGGACGCGACGCTGAGAGCCACACGCCGTCAGAGCCGTGTCGTTAGGCAGCCCTGCAGTCGTAGTAGCTTGTCCTGACCTTGAATTCACTGTGATAAACCAGAATTTTTGTCTTGATTGTGGTGGTGGTGGTTTAGTTGCTAAGTCGTGTCTGACTCTTTTGAGACCCTGTGTTGTAAGTATGTGCATGCATGTTAAGTCGCTTTAGTTGTGTCCGACTCTTTGTGACCCTAGGGACCGAGGGACTGCAACCCGCCCCAGACTCCTCTGTCCTTGGAGTTCTCCAGGCAAGAATACTGGACTGGATTGCCATGCCCTCCTCCAGGGGATCTTCCTGACTCAGAGATTGAACTCGCATCTCTTACATCTCCTGCATTGACAGGTCTCTTTACCACTAGCTGGCACCACCTGGGAAACCCATGTCATGTGTATATATTTGTCAAAAGAAAAAAGATGACTTTTACTAAATGCAAACTGTGTTTTAATGAAAAAAAAAATAGCCTACACAATTTCCCTGAGTTTGCAAGAACTCTTTCTTTTAGTTTGAACGCATATAGTGACATTTACTGTGCTGTTGGCTTGGTAAGAGATCTTCACCTTGCAGACGTGGAAACATCAGCATGTACGCAGCCAGCATGGCTGTTCCTGGGAAGACACGAGGCTGTCCAGGATTCCACATGCTGGCGCCAGAGGCTCCAGGCCGGGCTTTGCTGCGTCACAGGACCTTCCTTTGCAGGTCTGTCTTGGAGCAAACACCTGCCAGAGAGCTGGGAGGCTGCGTCCTGATTGCCTTCATTCTGAGCACTGTCCCTGAACCCAGAGGCCTGTCTCATCTGCCTCTAGATGCTACCCTTCTGTGAGAATAAAAAAGTATCATCTGACTCTGACTCGGTTCACACTGCTTTAACCCGAGAGGTCTCTGTGCTGCAGCTAGGTTCCGGAGGCCTTCGTGATGGCAGGCTTGCTTTTGGGGGAATGGCCTTTGCAGAGAAGAGTCACGTGTGTGATCACACACATGTGTTAGAAACAAAAACAGGTTGGCAAAGCGCTCTCCTGGTGGCCCTGTCATCGTCGCTGAGAGGCTGTACTCACACCCCTACGCTGTCCGGCTATGCCCGGCTGCGGTGCGGAGCTGGCCCCTGCTCCCACCACCATCACAGCCTCCACCGGGCCTCTCAGCCCAGGCCCCGGCCCGCTCAGCGTCTCCTGCCTTCTCTCCGCCCTGATCGCCTCTGGTCCGCCCCAGCCCTGCTCTGTGCCGGCTTCTCCCCAAACCCCTTCTGCTCCTCTCCCTTCATCCTGTAACCTTTCTCCTTTCTTCAGGCGCTAAGGCATTGGTGGTTCATCGGCAGCCTCCTCGCCTCCCTTCCCGGGGCCTAGTCCACTTCTGTCTAAGTGGAAATCCTCTGCTCTAAGTTCCGCAAAGGGACGTGCAACTCAACCTGGGTGGGCATTCAAGGACGTGGGGCTGTGAAATGCATGTTGGCAGGAGAGAGAATACTTGGGTGGCTTTTGAAGGCAATTTTGTTGAATTAGGATTGCTGGCGTTAAACACACGCACGCATTCATTTACTGGCCTCATTCTAAATTTGTTAAATTTAGACAAATTCAATTATAAATATGACAGAGGAGAACTGTGTTTCTTTGCGTATTAAATATTTTAAAACGAAATCTCATTTTTTTGATGAGATTATAGTTACAATCTCTGGTTATAGTTTCTTGATTCAAAAATAGGCTAGGGACTTTGGAAGGTGATGGAATTGTTTTATGTCTTGACTGTGCTGGTGGTCACGCAGCTTTATGCGTTTGTCAAAACCAGAAAGGATTACTTTTACTGAGTAAAGTATGCCTTAATAGAAAAATGGAGAAACAGTAGGTTACAAAATGAAGAGTTCAATGGATTTGGCAGATATTTGAGCCCCAGGACACCAACAAACCAGCGGCAACATTTTTTCATTTCATTAACTGACTCAGTGGCTATTCTGGAAGCTTGGAAAGGACCAACGTTCAGTTCTAAACACAGACCAGACTGGGGATGCACACTCTTCTCCTCTTTTCGGCTCTCCACCCTTTCCTGGCATCCATCCTCTCTCCTTCTGGGGAACTCATCCTCCCCTCAATGAACCAGTGGCTCTGGAGGGGCTAACCTTCCATGCAGGGGGACCTCAGGCCAGGGGGATGGGCACAAGACCCAGCAAGGCTGGTCAAAATGCTTCCCCTGGAGGTGAGAGGGGGCTGGTCTTCTGGGAGGGTGCAGTCACAGCTCTGAGCCAGCAGATTGCTGGTGGCCAAAGCCCTTTCCAGGTGAAAGGAGACAAGATGCAGGTGAAGGAGAAGGAACTCCTGAAAGAGTCCCACACAGAACCTCAGATCTGGTCCAAAGCAGAGGTGGTGGGGGTGGGATGGGCAGGGTGTGTCAGAGAAAGGAGGAGCTTCTAACAACTTCGGGGACAGGGAAGGTGGACTGAGAAGCAAAAAGGATGATCAAAGCGTGCTTTCCCCAGAAGAGAGCAGGTGTGATGTGCAAGAGGGGGGAGAGTCGACTCGCATGGCTTGCCCAGCTCCTCCTAGCTCTGTGTCTGTGCCAACTGTGTGGATGTGGAGCCTCGGGGGGCAGGTGCTGGGGTGACAAGACTAGAGCCAGCTGCTCAGCGAGGGGAGAGGTGGCCACACGGAGGCTGCAGGCCGATAGCGGACACGGCGGAGCCTGAGCTCCCCCACGCCCGATAGCGGACACAGCGGAGCCCGAGGTCCCCCAATAGTGGACACAGCGGAGCCCGAGCTCCCCTGCAGAAAGGTGAATCTGTAGTAAAGAAAATAAGCTTCTGAAATGTTATCTCAAAATGCAAATTAAAATAAGAAAATTATGAAACAGAAAATGACAAAGAAAACAGAGAATGAAGATCCATGAAACCTATGTTTTAAAAAAAAGGAAAATAGAAGGAAAATCAAAGTTATAATTGAATAAAACTTTCCTAAGCCCTTTGAAAATACCTGAATAGGCAAATTTTGAAAATTGATCAACTCATGACCCAAAATGTTGCATATATTTGAACGAAAATTTTGAAGGAAAAAGAAAGTTTTAGAGGAAACAACAGAATGATGAGCATGGAACTTAGAGTTGATTGCACCATGTTTCTAAATAAAGAAGACTAAATATCCTATGAATAAAATTCCTCCTAAATTAATTCAAATTAAAATTCTCACAAAGTTTCTCTAATTTCACAAAAATAGATGCCTCTGAAAAAAAGTTATGTAAAAATGGGGAAAAAGGAAAGAGAAGAAGGGAAAAGAAAGTTAAGATTGGGAAGAAAAAGGACTTTACAGCAATTTTCAACTCATGATCATTAAGTAGATTTTAGTCCTTATAAAAGACTCAGCAGTCATGAGATTTGTTCATGCCTGTTCCAAACACTCAGAACTGCTGATTTAAACCTAAAATACTGAGCCAAGATAAAAGCAAGAAAGGCAAATCTCCAGCTCCCAGAAGTAAGGAGGAAAATCTCAGCTAAAAGCAGGAGTTTTGGCCTCATGTTCCACAGGGGGCGTGGGTTGGCATTTTTACAGCGACAGAGGCCACACGTGATCCTAAGCAGCGAGAATCTGAACTGCTCTTCTTATCTGAACCTAGGAGACAGAAACTAGAAAGTTCTTCTCCGCACATGAACAAAGAGCCAAGAAATCCCTGTGTTTTGGCTCCACGTCATACCCTAGGAGAAAACTTCCTTTAACAAGCTGTAAGATGAGAAGAAACTCAGCCTGCGCTGCGCTAGGCGTGAAACCCAGATTCACGTCTTCTCCCGGGGTATGAAGCGCCACGCTGGAATGAGTCCACAGGTGACAGTTGACTACAGATAAGGCCAGAGTCACCTGAGATGGATCACGGAATCCACTTCACAAAATGGGAGAAGTCACACCCTAAGAACTAGACTTAACGGAATAATATGAATGAAACTCTGAACCAGAAATGCTCTAAATATTCAAGGACTCAAAAAAGGTAAGAACATTTGAAACAAGAACAGGTGATAATGAAACAGAAAAAAATAATGGAAATACAATCAAGTAGAAACTTTAGGTTAGTGAATTTTTTAAAATTCCAATAGTAGATATAATGTAGCTGAAGAAAGAAATAACAAACTGGAAAAGAGTCTGAAAACTCATCAGCACACAGCATGGGAAAATAGAGAAGTGGACATACAAGTATACTAGAAACTGGGAAACTTAGAGAATAAAATGTTGTTGTTCTTCCATCACTAAGTTGTGTCCAACTCTTTGTGACTGCAGTCCCCATGGACTGCAGCACACCAGGCTCCTCTATCCTCCACTATCTCCAGGAGTTTGCCCAAGTTCATGTCCATTGAGTTGGTGATGCTAGCCAAGTATCTCACCCTCTGCCGCCCTTTTCCCCTTTTGCTTCAATCTTTACCAGTGTCAGGGTCTAACCCAATGAGTTGGCTCTTCGCATCAGGTGGCCAAAGTATTGGAGCTTCAGCATCAGTCCTTCCAATGAATATTCAGGCTTGATCTCCTTTAGGATGGACAGGTTGGATCTCCTTGCAGTCCAAGGGACTCTCAAGAGTCTTCTCCAACACCACAGTTCAAAAGCATCAATTCTTCAGCACTCAGCCTTCTTTATGGTCCAGCTATCACATCCATACATGACTACTGGAAAAACTGTAACTTTGACTACATGGGCCTTTGTAGGCAATTAAGATGCTTAAACATATATCCAATAAGACTCCTAGAAAGAGAGAATGTTGAAACTTGGGCACAAATAGTATACATAGAGATAACACCTGAAATTTTTCCAGACTTGAAAGAAAACATGAGTGCTGTGATTTTAAAATATCCTCAGGAAGGATAAATATCATAGACAGGATAAATAAAAGCAAATTTAAATGAGGACAGAACATAAACTTCAAATATCAAGGATAAGGGGGAAAAAAATCTGAAAAGCTACCAGGGATAAAAAGACAGTTTATGAAAGATGTAAGTGATTGAAAGACAGTCAGTGAAGGAATAATAGTGTGACAGTTGTCAAGGTCTTATTATTGACCAGATGTCAGAACACAGAGAAATAATACCCTTAACCATGATGTCGGTTGACTGATCTGGGACAGACAGACTGAAGGAATAGAATAGGTAATCCAGAAAGAGAGAAGAGATGCAAATATTTGACAAAGAAGGTATCACAAAGCAGGGATTGGGTAAGGGTAAGAGTTGGTCGCTCCGTGGTGTCTGCCTCTTTGGGACCCCAGGGACTGTAGCCCGCCAGGCTCCCCTGTCCATGGGGTTCTCCAGGCAGAACCCTGGAGTGGGCTGCCACTCCCTCCTCCAGTGGATCTTCCTGACCCAGGGATCGAACCCCGGTCCCCTGCATTGCAGGCAGATCCTTCACAGTCTGAGTCATCCAGCGAATGGTGCTCATAGAAGTCATCAGCTACTTAGAAAAACCCATTCAGCATCTCCCTTATACAGTCATCATCATCTTTAAGGTTAAGGAGTTCATTTTAAAAATAAGGGCAGTACAAAATGTGATGTAAGTTAAAAATATGTTTAACTTTGCTGATGTTCAAAGAAATGCAGATCAAAGCAATGTTATCATAATCAAAGTTTATTTTTAACGTTAATGTCCAATGCTGAGAGCAGGGTGGGGGGAATGGCAGTTATTTTCCTAGGTTTTGGCAGAGGTGGGGTTAGAAATTGATAAAACACTTTAGGAAAGTGATCAGGAGGTACATATTCACACTGATCAAGTGTCCATTGTCTTTGACCCAGACCTGCCATGCTGAGTCATCTCCTTTAGAGAAATAATCAAAAACAGAGACAATGATTTATGCCTGAAGATATTCATTACCACCTCATTTATAATAATGACATCTGAAAATAACCACAGTGTCCGTCATCAGAAATACATCTCCAAATAAATCATGAAAATTAAGTGATGAAATGTTGCATAGGCAGTATGAACAATTTCCTAAGAGTTTTGAATAAAAGAAAATGTACCTGGGATAAAGTTAAGTGGAAAAAAAGTAGGTGATGATACTGCACATAGAAAGGACCATGAGCACACAGCTCTTAATAGTTAGGGTGGTCATCTCTGAGCTTAAATTGTTGAAGACTCTTATTTTTTTAATCTTTTTACATTTTTATGCATTTTCCAAGTTTTCTACCGCAAGGCTGCTTTATAATAAGCACAGAAAAATAGTGAATGTTGAAGAAAATTAAAGCCCCTGATAGGAGAATCCCTTTGACCTGAAGAATGGCTCAGAATGTTGCCTTCAGACCCTGTGTTGCTGGTGTCAGAAACTTTTCTCTAGTTAGATAGATCCTGTGTGATTTTGAGGACAGCAGTTCCCTGTTCTGGAACCCATCACTTGGTGAGAAGGTTCTAGAATAATAAGTGCAGTTATCCATGAGTTCTCTGCCCTTGACCAAGGTCACCTATCACCTTCTCTCCTTTCCACACAGAACTCAGCCTCACCTCCAAGAACTGGGGCCGTCACAGGGGGCTGCCAAGAGGGAGACCAATTAGTACAAAGCAAACATTTCTCCGCTACGAAAATGGATGGAGGCCACCAGAGCCCGCGTCTGCAGGCAGAAAATCCGAGGTTTCCTACACCCTGGGCAGCCATGACCAGAGATAGAAGAGACGGGAGGACTCACTGCCTCCTGGGCCAGGGCTGACCGGGCAATCAGACCTCAGCATTTATTTATGGAGCTAATTTCGCATGTATTGCTCCCATTTCCGCCTGCAGATAAAAAGCAGAGATAATAGACTTGACGCTGGCCATGGCTGCGGCAGGAGCCCCGTGTCGGGACCGCCTTAAAGCAGGATTCCAGAGAGCCTGGTTCTGAATTTGGTCAAAGAACGCACTCCACGGCAGCCTCACAGACTCCCTTCTCGTCACTGCGTCCTCCTGCAACAGGTCTGCAGAGGGGATGTCTGCCGCACTTCCACCACATGTGGGAAGCACTTTTGAAAGGATAAATAAGGCCGTGATGTGCTTTCCTATTAAGAGCTCTTGGCCACCATCATTCCCCGCTAGGTCTCCAATTCCTCTCTGAGGAAGCATCAAAGCTTTCCTGAATCTTTGTCCCACCACAGTTTGATCAACCAGCTCCTTTCCTGAGTGTGACTGTCTCAGAGATCATTAACAGTTAATAGGGAGAAAGCCCCCTCCCCAACTGTGTCGCAATTTCTCCTACAAATAGTGTCCCTTTAAGAGTGTTCGTAGAGCTTGGCACACACCCCCGCACAGGACAGATGCTGCCCGCCGCTCTGCCGGACCATTGGGAGTTTGGTCATGTAGTTTGTTCTCACAAAATTTCTTCACCTGTCATTGGACTTCATTTTATTAGCATTAAGGTAAATACTTAAAAAGAAAACCCAACAAACTCACACCTTAAAAATCAGTGGAGTAGTAGCTGATGAAAGAAGTAACTATAAAATTAATTTTGTGCTAATTGAAAAGAGAATGGTCTTCCCTCCCCCTGCCTCAAAAATAACTACTGTCTCTTCAATCCTGAAATTAAAATACCAGAGACAGAAACAGATTACCTAATATGTTTTGAGATTTAAACTTAATTTTGTTATTTTAAGAATTTAGAAGAGTATTTTTCCTGCTCAAACAATCATATATCCACCTCCCCTAGAAGTTTTCAGAAGTCCCCTCATACCAATGGTATTGCCTTTTTCAGTTAAAACATACTCAGAAGAAGCATGAAATGACTAGTTAATTCAAACATACTCTATTAATCAGTTCTACAGTGAAGACTTTTAATACCGATGAAAACACACTTTGTGGAACAAACAGACTCCCTCTCCACTACATCTCTCGGGGCGTGGGATCAGATCCAATAACTTGAGAAAATAAATATGACGAGTCTCCTACAGACCTTAAAAGCTGATTTGTGTGAGCTTTGTTGCATTGAAAAGTAAAATTAAATGGGCTTCAGACATAGAGTAGCCTTGTGATTTGAAGCAGGCAAGAAAAACGTGCAAGTCTGAAAGACTGAACAAGGATGGCAGGCCAGCAAACAGTTAATCGCAGTTTGCAGGGAGACAGGTTTAGGTGATTGAAAAAGGACACTCTCCTCTCATGTTGGTGCATTTCACCCCGAAGCCAAGGAAAGCACAGATGGAGGAGGGACCCTTCATCTTTTACACTTGCCCACTAGCCTTCCAAAACGCATAGGCATGTCTAACTCATTTTTCTGTATTAGCTACGTCTCTAAACAGTTGTTAATCATTTTATGGTGGTTATTGTTATAAGCAGACTCTTATCTTTAAAATGACGAAGGAATTAAAAGAAACAGCTGCTTGAAAATTTGGTTGTGAGTATTTTGTAGTGAAGTGTCGCCTTGGCTGAAAGCAATCCGCTCTGGGCTCTCTGTTCATCTAGGGGAGGAAGAAGGACCTCTGAGCACTTGCTACCTGTGGCATGTAAGACACCTCCATCCCACGCACTCCCCAGGTGGCACTAGTGATAAAGAATCCACCTGCCAACGCGGGAGAGAAGGAGGCACAAGAGACGCGAGTTCAATCCCTGGGTCGGGAAGATCCCCCGGAGAAGGGAATGGCACCCCACTCCAGTATTCTTGCCTGGAAAATCCCATGGATGGAGGAGCCTGGCGGGCTACCATCCTTGGGGCTGCAAAGAGTAGGACACGACCGAGCAAGTGAGCACCATCCCACACCCAGGTAAAAATCCTCCCAAGTCTAAGTCTGATGCACATACATGGATGAAGGAGCAAGGGTTCACAGCGGGAGCCACCCAGCCTTTGGGACGGGGAGAGCCTCACAAATCCCGAACCAAGGGCCAGGCTGGCTCCCAGTCAGCGCAGGGAAGAGCGCCAGCGCCGTAGCTTGGCACCCCCACCAGCCCCTCGGCCCAGCTTTAGATTTAAATGCGTGCTCCAGAGTCCAGGGGCGTCCAGCGATCTGGGGGCTGACGAGCTGTTGCCGGGGGGCTGCTCTGACTCCTCCCTCCCTCCCACCTCCTAGAACAGCCCCTGACGGGAGCGGGCAGGGTGAGGCAGTGGGCGGGGCGCTGCCCAGGGCAGGGCAGAAACAGGGCAGGTCCCCCCTCAGAGCAAAGGAAAGGGATGGGCACCGCACCCCTCTTGGCTTCTCCCTGCAGTGATTTATCTGACTCTTGTCCAAGTTCTTTTTCCAGGAGTGGGGCCAGGGGTGGCGGTCTTACCTCGCACCGAGGTTCCACATCGGGGCATCTGCTAGATAGCCACCTACTCCGGAGAGTCACCGAGCACTTCATTTGGAGGCAGACACGTGCGTTCACGGGTGGCTGTAAACCGAGGAGAAGGTGATTTATCTCCAAGTGTACACCCAAGCTGCTGTCATAGCCCACCCCACGACGGGATGATGTAACTAACCTCTCCTGTCCCAGTGATATCACAGCCCCGTTCGCACTCTCTGGCATCCACTTTAAAGATGCAGTTGGTGCCACGGTACCCTTCTTAGAAGGTGAATCGTCAGCCAGGGCAGGGCAATGACATTCTCCAGCTTATCAAGATGTCACTTATGTTTTACTGTTGAAGGACCTTTCTTCATCATTTAAAAGTTTAATGACACACAGCATACATTCGAAAGAGGACAGGTATAAATAAAGGTAAACATATCTCCGAAGCCAGCCATCAGAACTAACAGTGCCCAGAAGTCCCTCACACAGCCTGCTTCCAGGCCTTAACTGCGCCCGACACCCCCCCCCCC